TACCATTACCTACTCTGTGCCCTTGCAAAGTTCACCCAAACCCCAGCACCCACTTTACGGACTATCAACAGTACTTCGATGCCAACTGTCGGTGCCCAAAACTTCCAATCCAGATGGCCCAGAAGGGACCAGTGGGCATCCCCTGGTATTCCAAATGAATCCTTTTTTCTCTGGCTGGTCCAGCAGCCTGGTTGGTATAGTGCTTGCCAAACACTCGGTTCTTGTTCAGTTTGCCTATGGTGTCTGGTTCCCCAGATGATAATCCTTTACATAGCACCATTGAAGATCTGTGCTACTTCTCTACTTAGGACTTCCCAAGTGGGCTTCTATATCCTCCGATCCCTTGGATTTATTTGGCTGCTTCACTCGGGTTTCATGTAACTTATGCATCACACTACATTCCACAACCTCCCAATGCAAGTTGGTGAGACCAAAGTTACAGGTGCTTACCCGATCGATATGTCATACAGTTTTACCGTAATGCATTTCTGCAAATTCAAATTTCGTCGCCAGTGGGATTTGAATTCTTGTCTTGCCGCTTGGGGGTGTGACAACTTACCAACTACACTAAGTCGCCACACTCTTATTCTAAATATTTTTAATTCTATAAATATTATAATTAAGCATAATACTATTAGAAGTTGTGATAGATAATTTAATTTTGTGTTTGGCTATAATAAGATATAAAGATAATATTGAATTGCAGATAGTTTTTAGAATTACTATATTGTAAATATAATATTTAATAGTTAAAATAATAATGTTGTTAATAATATAAATAACCTGTTTGTCTGTTATATTTTTGATTTTAAATATATTATTAAGTTCAGATGCTTCTTGTTTGATAAATTTTATTTGTTTGTTATATTTTAGAATAGCTATGAATTAGCAGCCTAAAAATTTAAATAAAGTATATATTGGTTATATATAGATGGTGTAGTTTATAAAATTAATTTGTGATATAAAGTTTGTATCTGAAATTAGAGTAGATTTTTGTAGGTTTACTTTAATATGAGCTGTTGTATAAACAGATGCAGCTGTTTAGATGATTTGTTGAAATTGGTTTATAGATGAACTAAGCCATAGTATATCATCTATTTATGCTAAGATAGACATTTAATACAAATTTGATTTTATATTTTGTAAAATTAAGTTGTATAAGCTATTAGACCGAAAAAGTATATTCTTTATATTTGTAATATATATAGTTAATTAATAGATCATAATAGATATGCCAAAGTAAAAATGTTATAGTTTCTTCTTAGTTAATACTATCTTTAACTATATATAATAGTGTAAGTCTGAAGTTAGTAATAATATGTTCTTGTTTATATACTAATAGTTTAATTGGTATACTGAACAAGATTGTAATTCATTAAATGTCCTCTATCCAAAGTGGTGAATTTTTAGATTATCTTTATTCAAATAAATATACTATAATATGATTGCTGAATTTAGAACTGCTATTAGTAAAGTTCATGAATAGGTAGATAAAAACTTATTGATGTTCACTTTACAATTACCAAGATTATAAAAAGTTTATATAATCTTATATCATCTAATTATAAGCTGTCTAACATAGATGTTTTTTCTTTAATAGAGTTTTAGAGTTTTTAGAAAACAACAAGAAAATGTTATTAATACAATTATTTTATAAGACTGCCTTTTTAATCACCTTGACTATGAAAAGTCAATTATCTGATATTGTATAAATTAACTTGTTGAATCAAAAGAAGTTCAGTATCAGCATCATATAAAATATTATTAACCTAAAAGAATCTAAAATTTCAAAAGCACATAGAGGAACCAAACTCAGAATCAAGAATATTTTCATAGAATAGTATAAAGAGGATAAACCTTTTTGTACACTATCTGCTATTAAGACTTATCTAGAGCAAACTTCAGGTGGTATATATCAGAGGAACAGAAATCTTCACTATTTTTGATTACTACATTACTGCATAATCCAACATCAGTTAACACAGTTGCAAGATAAATAAAATCTTGTCTTAAAGAAAGTTTAGAAGATCTAACTGTCAAGAACATACACATTTTGGCTGCATTCTTAGCACAAAATAGTGGAGTTGAATTGGCTTCTATCCTTGGGATGTGTAACTGGTCCAGTAATACTACTTACCAAAGATTCTATTAACATGGTATATTTCTTACTTTACAAAGAATAATGTTCCAATAAAGATCATTAATGAAGCCTTATTATACAGGGATATGCTTCAAAAAAGCACCTAATATACTTTGCAATCTTGAGTGATATGCATTTGTGCAAATGTCCGAATAATATGAAGGACATTTGTAAATGTATGAATGAAAGTTGCAATGTATATCATGTTCCTTCCCCCTCTCCATTTACATAGTTGTATATAATCGGAACTTTATTTTATGCACATTGCCTTAATTAGAATATTAAACATTAGAATTATTAATCTTATTATTATTATTACCATCAGTTATGTTATATAAAACGGCCTGAAGAGAGGGGACGATTAGTAGAGTAGCCAATATATATAGATTTATTTTAATGTAATTAGACCTGTAATCAGGTGATCTGTACACTGTACTGATAAGTATTACATGTGATGCAAAAATAGCTTCTACTATATGTACCGATCATGCCGAAATCACAAACTTAATCGAATCGGCAGAAAAATTATTCTGCTAATTGTTATCAAGTGTTTCAGAAATTATGATAATATCTGTAAACGGATGGATAATTTGGATCCCAAATTTTATGAGTTCAATCTCTATTCGGAATTATATAATGCCTGTACAGGTTTAAAAAATTTAGAGGAATTACATTAAGGCCCCGAAAAATGATGATAATTAAATATAAGGGTCCAAATTTTACAAAATTTTACAATTAAGGGCCAAAATAACTTTGCGTTATGATTGATAGTGGTTCTTTGAATGTTATCACTGTATATATATTGTTTTATATATTTTATACTACGGTCAACTCCTTCTATAACGAACTGAAGATCCTGGAAGAAAAAAGTTCGTTATAGAAATTACTATGTTTTCTTAGGAACCCCTGCCACTTTTTATACTAAACTATTATGAAATTTCAAAATCTTGAGTTAATTATATCCAGAGTTCATTATAGAAAGATTCATTATATCCAGAGTCAACTGTATATTCTTCTCCTAATACAGTTTGACTAGGCTAAGACGTTATTTATTAATATATATTGTAATTTTATTCGGTTCTAAACTAATACATCCATCCCATACCAAAGAGGTTACTACGCGTTATCAATGATATTTAGAACCGTAAAAACTCATTTGTATTCGTAGAGAAAGCTAAATTACTTTAAAATTTGGCAAAAGTAGTTGTAGGTTTTACTATACGCTAAGAAACCAAATGCAATACTAATTAAAAAATAATACGTTTAATTGCTAAAAGAAAATTACATAAAATTAAGTGATATACGTAATGATTAATAAATGAGTGCTGCCAAGGGAAACCTACAATCGGGCTTTCAATTATACAGTATTTTGTATACAGTTGGTTGCCTAAGTTCCGTCTAGGGAAATCTATTATCTGGCTTTCAATTATATTTTGTGATGAGTTGTCACAAAATATAATTGAAAGCCCGATAATAAATTTTCCTTAGACGGCATTAGGGGACAAGCTTTATACAAAATATAGTTGAAAGCCCGATCCTTGGCAGCACTAAAATGATTTATAAATATCATGATCAGTTTCATAAGCAATTTACAGCTGAGAAAAACACATTACGGCGAATTTATGAAATACCACAAAATTTGAAAATTTTGACCACTAAGTAAACAATAATGATTTTTGACCGAAATAACTACTATCTCGAGTGATGGTGCGTCATTCTAATAAATTTATATGTCTAATGAGGTGGGGAAGATGGGTTAGACGTCCAAAAAACCTTTTCGGGGTTAACATTGATTTATTTATATGTCATTTGGTAACTAAAATTTAAAATTGGGGACCAAATACTCAGATTTAGTGACCGAATTTTAGCTTAATTTCATAAATTCGCCGTAATGAAATGACCAATTAAATACAATGATGATTTATAATTATTATGCGGTTTCATAAACGGTTTCATAAGCGGATTTATAGCTAAGGCTAGCAATTGACCAATCGAATACAATCATACAATTCAATTTTACAAATGGGTGTCTTTAAAATAGACCCGGGGTCTAGGTTATTAACCTATGACCAAAAATAAATAAATTAAATTTAAAATAGTCATTCACGTGCTAACTAACCCTAACTAAAATTGAGAATAGGATAATAACCTAAACTTCGAGTCTATTTTAACGATACCCTTTACAAATTTTACTGGAGATCACAATAAACGATTGGATTAAATTTTATGAAAATTATCATGTACATACCGTAAATAAGCACCATCTTTACCCCATTTTTTAAATGTCATATTAGCAGGAATAACTCGACTAAAGATCTTATTACGATTTCTACTAACGCTAATCTGACATTTAAAAAAATGGGGTAGGGGATGGAGGTAATTTTAAATGTTAACGATAAAATTTGAACCCCTGATGATAATATTTTTCAAATTTGGGCCCTTATATGTGATTATTTTCATTTTCGGTCCTTATATGTAAATTCCCCCCAAAATTATCTATTAAATAGGTTCGGAATTAATATTATCGTTATGCTTATTCAAAATTCCCCTAACACTAATCACTTACGTACGTACGTACGTACGTAGATGAATTTAAAATTCCAAATTTAGTAAAATCCTATTCCGGTACATGCAGCAGAAATTAAATACGTACATAATGCAGCAATAAATTTTTTTCTTGCATTTGACTTTTTTTGTACGTACAACTTAATAGCATAATTACCTTTTACTAATTATTAAGAATATGCTAAGATGGGTGATTCAGACAGAATTTTCTGGCTTGGTTATTGTTATGAACATGGGATTGGAATTGAAAAGAATGAACGCAAAGCATTTATTTATTATCAAAAATCTGCAGATATGAATAATTGTGATGGAATATATCAAGTTGGTCATTGTTATTATTTAGGAATTGGAGTTGAAATGGATAGGTGTAAAGCATTTACATATTATTTGAAGTCAGCTGAGGCAGGAAATTCTATGGGAATTTTTAAAACTGCGGTTTGTTACATGTACGGAATTGGTATCAAAGAGAATCGTAACGAATATTATAACTGGATTAAAAAGTAAGTTATTTATTAATATTTTATTGTTTGGCATTTTTTAAATTAAAAATTTTCTTAAATTATTCAATTATTTAGAGAGTAAGTATAATATCATTTTATTAATCATAGTTAATAATATTTTCACTTAGACAATATAACTCAAAATTATTTTATTCATGTTAATCTAGTCGGTGTGTATAAAAACATTTATTAATCTAGGTTTTTAAAATACAATATTTCGTTCATGAACAATTATTATTGATTCGTTAATTTAGTTTGTAAGTACAAATATTTATTAATCTAATATTTAAAATATTATTTAAGTTCATGAATATTGTGATAATTTTATTTTATTTGCGTTAATTTAGTCGGCGAGTATAAAGATTTATTACAGTATTAATTCAGTATTTAAATAAACTAATCAAGTTCATGAATATTTACTGTTTCATTTCATGTTATTCGCATTAATTTAGAGGGTGAGTATAATTGACATTATTAGTCTAAGTATTTAACTTATTTGCTACTTAATTTCATCTTATTCGCATTAATTTAGTGTGTAAGTATAAAGGACACTTATTAATTTAGTATTTAAAATAAGTTACTCAAATCCATGAATATTTACTATATTTGATTTAATTTTATTTGCGTTAATACAGTCGGTGAGCATAATTCATCTATTATTTAAATACATATCGTCGCATAATAACGTTTCGGGTGTTATTTCGAGACACAGATTAAAGAAAACTAAAATTAATTTACAAAAGATTTTTAAAAAAAATTATTATTGTTCGTACTTTGCTAAGTTATTTCTTAGTTCCTTTAAGTTGTGTGTCTTGAAATAATATCTGGAGAGCTATTTCGAGACGATACGGATACGGCAAGCTATTCAAATTCATGATAAATATTTACTAATGAAATTCGTTTTTATTCGTGTTAATTCAGGGGGTGAGTAAAGAACATTTATTAATCCAAGTATTTAAAGTAAGCTATTTAGGTTCACGGACATTTGTTATTAATTCGCACCAATTTAGTGTGTAAGTATAAAGAATATGGCTGACATCAAAATTACTGAATTGTAGCGTGCACTATATTACAGAATTGCGGAATCTTGCAAATTAATTTTGATGTTAACTATAATAATTATAATAAATATTTATAAAGTATCTAAAAATTTAAGTTTATTGAATATTTATTGATTTTTCTGTTCACACTAATTTAGTGTGTGAGTATAAAGAACGTTTTTGCTTTAAGTAATTAAAATAAGCGATCAAGTTCATGAATATTTACTATTTAATTTTTTTTTCGCTTTAATCTAGTCGGTGAGTATAAAGGAAATTTATAATCGAAGTATTTTAAAACAAACAATCCAAGTTCGTGAATATTTATTATTCATTCACGTTAATTTAGGGGGTGGGTATAAAGGACTTTTATTAATCTAAGTACTCAAAATAAATTCATGAATATTTATTAATTTCATTTTTATTCGCGTTAATTTAGATGGTAAGTGTGGAGAACGTTTATTGATTTAGAAATCTAAATAAGAAATTCAAGGGCATAAATATTTACTGAATAATTTTATTTTATTCGTGTTAATTTAGTGTGTGAGTATAAGGAACGTTTATTAATCTAAGTATTTAAATAAGCTATACAAGTTAATGAAATATTTACTATTTGATTTTATTTTATTCGCGTTTAATTAGTCGGTGAGCATAAATATTCAAATTTAGAAGTTGCATAATAATGTGAAATAACTAATTATACAATTGATTATAAAGAAATTCTGACTATGGAATATGTGCACACTGCAATAAATATAACACGAGTTACGCATGGTGTCAGGCATGTGATCCTGAAATAACAATTAAAGG